ACCCCTACTTTAGTATTTACCCTGTCCAACGCCAGACGATTTTTAATACTCAGTCAGTGGTAGGGTACTGTCAATAAATGGGTTAACAAGGATAACAATAATAGGATGTTTCTGAAGGACTCGTTCAACACCCTGTAGTTTGTCTTTTGCTGTCAAAGGCAGCATTACTGCCTTGTGGGTAACCTAGTTTAATTTGCATTAATGCGCATGCGAAATCTGGTATTACTGTGACATTTAAATTAGGAAAACGCATACAAATCAGTTGGTCCCCAGGCCATGTTTAGCATCGTTATAAAGAGTATACAATCTACGCCATATATGTCGGAATAAACATTTTTTAAGAGTAGGCAGTCAGAACACGAGTCCTGGCACCATGCATAGACAAGCATTTTGCATGAAAGCGCATTGCGGAATCTCGTATTACACTGTCGAAGATATAGCAAAAAACGCATATAAATAATTTGTTCTCCAGGACATGTTTAGTATCGTTATAGCGAGCATAAAATTCTTCACAAGTGCGAGTTCATACCGAGCTCATGCATGTAGAACTAATGTAAAGCAGTTCACCATCCTATTTCAAGGACCCAAATTGTGGAATTCTCTCCCAGAGTTTGTCAAAAGTGCACACTAGCTGTCAGACGATAAATTTTGAAATATTTGCTAGATGCCTAATTACGTTTTTCTTGACCGCACCTAACTAATCATTTTTCTGATCTAAATTTTCTGTTACTACTGCTCCAAGGAGACATCCTATTTACAAGCCCTATGGTTCCCGGATGCCTCCTTGCCACCGATATCTACTTTATGGTGTACATATTGACTATTTAAAACTAACTATATTATTATTATAAAATAACTTGTATATAACTGATATCTGTGGCAAATTAAATTATCTTCTATCTTATCTTCTATGACAAAATATGTCGTCAAAATGGAAAAATCTATTGAATTGAACTAAAAATATTGAATTTGTTGAAAGAACACGAGACCTGAGACCCTGAGTGTGGACGCACGTCTATGCAAATAACAAAAGGGCAAAAACGTGTAAAAATTATTTGGTCCCTTATGACAAATTATATATTGTTCGAAGGTGTATAAAGATCTATATAAAAAATTAAACAACATACTTTTGAACGTCGGGGGGTGAGGAATGTCGTCGTGATGGCAATATGCCAAGTCATACTTAGAGGATAAGGCTAGCTGTTGTTAAAAGATTTTAAAATTGCAAATATTTCAGCATTATTGTTACCATTGTCATAGTAGAAACTGCAAGTGTAGTATTTTAACTGCAAGTGTATGTATATTAACTTAATTCCATTCCACTTGCAAATGTAGATGTTTGAATTTATGATTTGGTTTGAATGATGCGACTGAAAGAACATTTAATTTACTATGGCTTATAGCATTGGGTTTTTGAAGAAACTTTACTAGGCTACTTTAGCTGTCTAAATTGCTCAAGACCTTCGGTAGTATTTATATTGCTGAAAAGATCAAAATGTAAATATGGAAAATAGCGAGTTCACCGCATGTCGTCGTTGTCTGTTTAGTTATTAATCTCAATGAAGAATGTTGCTACGAATGTTGTGATGAATGTCGTGATGAATCTCGTGATCAATGTCGTGACAGCTTCACTTCAGTTACAATTGTCGCACTTCGACATGTGCATGCTTATACCCTCCAGACCAGGATATAAAATAAACAGTAAACAATGATTACATTGTACATACCATACAACCTGGACCTTCAGTGATGTTTGTTTGCAGAATTACACTTGACAAATTACCTGTAAAATCACAATGTAGTGCGCCATTTGTTGAAACACGGAACCATTTAATATATCGCTGAACGAACTACCAAAAGGGCCGGAAAAGTGCACATCAGAACGGTAGACAGTCTAGACATAGATTCTGTCTAACGTCTAACCACTATGTAGAAAACCATAAAAGTGTCGTCGTTACAGTCATGCGCACCATTAAAAGTGTCGTCGTGTGACAACCTAACCCTAACCCTTGGTATTCCCTCAAGGATCATAACGCAGGAAACGACCATGTCGAGATACCGGATGTGTATAAAACACTTATCTGCTAATTAACTCTGAACCTTTATACATTTTTCAGTTTTGAACCTAGCCAACTTTTTAACTGACGAAGACCTAAGTCACTGGTCGAAACGTCTTAACATCTTTTTAAATAAACGTAGTTTTTAACGTTTTTATCAAACCAGTGTCAAACCTTTCTACATCTCAATAATATGTCTAATCCTGATTACAATTTTAACATTTAGGGGCGGTCACTAATTCAAAATCCGAAACGTCAACAAGTAACAGAGTAACAGACTCACGTTGAGGCTATTTATAGAATAAACAAGACGCCGGGTAGGCATCAGAGGTTGGGTGACTACACCAACATGCATTGCGTCTCATTATTATTCACAATTGCGATTTTTGACAAACGTTTAGTGAAAAGTTGTTGAAATATATTGCGATTTTTATCTTTGAAGATGTCATTTTTTCGAAGGTATGTTTTTGTATTTGTATTATGTAAGAACCTAATTAAACTATTGACTTGTTTGGTACAGAAATTGCTTTTTAGTTATGTTAATTACGTATTGTATTTATGCTTGATTCGGGTCAGTGGACATGCCATAAAAGTGGCTTTCAAAAAATGCAGAAGCTACTTTCATTTTTTTGATGGGAAATTAAAATAAAACACGTAATCGAATTAATGAAAGTTTATTCTTTCCATTAGTACTTTAAAACTCAAAGTAGCTCGACGAAATTGACTAGTAATCGCGGTTTGAAAATGGGGTACTTTTGCTATATTCTTTCGCCGATAGCGGGAATTGACCGCGCTGTTGTCATCTGGCGCGAAGTAAAAACTACAGTATATGTACGAATCACTATTTTCTTCAAATTCTTTGGAACAAACGCATACATGTTTCCACATACTTTAAGTATATCATGTTACCCTTAAGCCACCCTTGACCGTATTTTTATCATTTAGCTTCTCATATGAAGAATTTTATAACATCCAGACGAGCTTTGTTTCAGAATCCTGGAACATCACCATATAATAAAAATACAGTACGACTGAAAAAAGATTGTCCATAAATGGACCTTTGAGAAGGATAAGGCACTTATTGAATTCATATCATTATCAAAACAGATCCAAAGTATCAGTATGGAACACATGTTGTTGGAGAGTGGCCATCGTTTTACCGCTTAATGGTAAACTACAGAGCTTCCCCACTGACGAGTAAAATCGTCTGGCATTACTCCATTAGACAAGTAGAAAAATAAGTAGGGCGCATTGCGGCTCAATGGGTTAACTGGAGACATTGTCAGATTTTTTGGTTAACCCATTAACTTGCAAAGCTTCCCCACTGACGAGTAAAATCGTCTGGCGTTAGACAAGTAAAAAAAAAAGTGGGGCGCACTGGGGCGCTGACAGTTTAGCAGTGTTTTTTTTTGTGATTGATATAAGCGGAAAGCCACATCTCGTAAATCTAAGCCTGTCATGGAATCAGCAACAGTGTGGTCATTTTGGTGTGGTTATTTTGCAGTGAGGTTCAAACACAAATGATTACAATTTTACAGGTTTACAAAGAAATGTAATTCCTCTGGACTGTTTAAATGTACATCATTAAGAGAAAAAGCATCACTATTTGTATACAGTGTATTTTTATCATACACTTTTCATGTAGCATAATTAAAGTAATGTTAAATTAACATTTTTTTGTACTTTGACAGAAATAAATTTTATTGAACATCAATTCTGTGTGATCTGTTTACTTAAGTATCTTTTATAAGAGTGAAATAAATAAAAAAAAATGCTGTGCTGAGTGGTTATATTGCTACCTTAAAAAATAAGCAGAAACTCGACGTTTCGAGCGAAGGCCCTTCGTCAAGAGTTAGTAGCTACTAACTCTTGACGAAGGGCCTTCGCTCGAAACGTCGAGTTTCTGCTTATTTTTTAAGGTAGTAATATAACCACTCAGCACAGCATTTTCACATTGGTACTACCAACACTGGTACAGACAGTTTAAATAAATAAAACCATAACATGTGTTAAGACTGTTAGCAGGTATTCAATCAGTTCATTGTTTATTATTAGTCATATATGAAACTGCAGAATTGGTAAGATGGCATTTACAGAATACCAACACTTATGCTACAGCTGCATATAATAGGGAATGCCAAGAAGTAACCTGCAGGGCAAGGAAAACCTGGGTATAACCACAGTCAGTTCTCAATACAGCACAAAAAAAACAGCACTTGAAACAAATCAGGGAATTTAATAGGTCAGGATGATGTTCAAACGAGGGTTTTGGGGTCAAATACACAATTTATGTAACTACTGTATATTATTTTGTGTGCCAGATGATTGACTCTTGACTTGTTATTTTGAGTGCTGGAAAAGTCAGTATTATGAGACTCCGCCAAAACCAATTCTGCATTTCTATTTATGGCAAACACTGTTATTGTGGTTGTTTCAATGCAGTACAGCATAGCATCACACATTTCGTATGGTAGTACAGTGTGATTCATTCTTTTTTTGCCAAGATAGTAAGCCTTCCATCAAAGATATTGAGATGAAGGGTATTGTAATGCAACCAAGGTTCACAGCTATTGAAGTACCAGTAACATCTTTCATCTCCAGAGCTATATCGCCATCATTCACCACATCACATCCAGATGTTCTTCATCCTGTCCATGTCATGTCAAGAATATCCTCATGTGCAACCACTTCCATTGATGAAAACAACTGAAAGATAAACAAAGAGAGCACAGACTTTGTTATGCACTGTGTTTATAGGTGTACAAGACCTACTAGTATGTATCTCAATTGGGCTGCTAAAACAACTAAAACATGCTTTCTACAAAGCTGTGGCAATCATTTTTATTACGGAATATTTTCAACAAATAACATTGCCTGGTGTTAAGCAGAATAAAATGATATACAGTATCAGGCAGCCTAGACCTAGGCCTTTACTCGGCTGGCTTTGGCAGGTATCTTTGGCAGATTTGGTCAATTTCGGGGTAGCATTTGGTAATTATCGCAATGGCCATTTGCAGGCTCGTAAAGGCCTACAATGACTTTCAGAAGTTGTTGGGACACATGTAGTTTTAGATTGCAAGTGGATCATTACAGGTTTTTATACGCAATACTGCTTCCCTCCCCCCACCCCAATCAATGTTTAAACCAAAACACATCAAACCTGACGAGAAATGGGACACAACATTGAACAGGGGACGTGGGGGGATTGACGTTTGTTGAAATTCAAAGGTTTTGTGGCATCTGTCCCAAGACTTTTGAAACTGATTGTCTGAAAGGCAATGAAAAGCATATTTAACCTCTTTGAATACCGAGTGTTTTAGAATATAAGTTTTGCGAAAATCATATAGCATTTAGTATAACACATTTACTGAATTGCATTGGGATATGTGCTTGTTGTGGTCAATATCTTTGAAATGTAACACAATCCAACAGACTGAACAGTATATTATAAATGAGCTTATAAACAGATGTGATATGTGGAGAGGGATGTATGCCGAGAGATTAAACCTGGTCTATATGCAAGGAATAAAACACATCTATCTGGTTAATTATCGACCTAGGTTATTGCTAAATAAAATGCAAGGATAAGTTATCGAAGACCACTTAAAGATTGTTGTAAGTTGCAGTCTGCGGTTCTTTAGGACGTCAGCGAAACGCACATAACCATGAAACCGAACAATCCAAATCAATATATATTTAACGTGGCTTCTAAACAATAATTTACAAACATAGATATTTAACTATACAAATACGATTACAAACAATGAAACAACACAAGACAAATACCTGACTGTTAGTCCTTCTGGCTACCACACACTACAACGTTAAATTAACTTTAAAACAACAGGTGAGATCTCGTAACGAATAAACCCCCAAAAAAACGTGTTCACATTTTTTCCCAATCGCGGGTTTTTGTCCAGCCCTAAAGGCGGGTCTAGATCCTACACGCCGGCCGCTATCGCAGTAACCTACTCGATACTAAACAAAGGGATCTAGACTGTTAACTATATAACAACATATACTAGAAATACATGCATGCAGCAACCCCTCGCCTATATTTTCCAAACATTGACTTACATGAAGTACCGTATTAGTAATTGATCAACACTGAACGCAGGCTCGCGTTTACGTCAGTGTTGTCATGGCAACACGACAATCTTAAATTTTATATTTTTTTGAACAACACGCCAAAAATAGTTGAAAGATTATTGCTTTTAATGATATAACATGAATTTCCGAATTATGTACTGTAGGTATGTTATATTGCATTTTGTGAGCTTTGATTTAATGTAAAATTTAAACTGAATCGCTTCGTAAAATGTTTTAAAATGTTCATTTTAATAACTAAACTGCTTTTGTCGTCTTTGCCGATGAACTGTTTTTAATACTTACTAAGTTCAAATTGTGAAGTAATTTCAGTTAGGTCTTCAAATTAATTTGCTCTCCTTTACATTTCACCTTTTTTCTTAAATTAAACAGGGTAATTTAGGAAACTTACAGCTTGATCACTGAAAAGGAAAGCTGCATGTACTTTTAATACGCAAGAAATTATTTATGAAAGCAAAAAAAATCATAAACATTAAACATTCAAAGCAAACTTGCACTATATTTCACGATTCCCATAGTCAATCCTTCTCATTTCTTGAAACAAAAATTGCTTCAAAGCTCATTGTGTGAAACGTGATTTTCCAAATATATGCTTTTGAAAATTGAAATCTTGTTTATCCCACTCCTGGCAAACAGCCATATTTTTGAGATCAGTGAGGAGGTCCACCCATGAACCATAGTCACGCGCCCGCGATATTTGATGAACTTTAGACTTCGCTAGTGCGTTCCTTTCCCCGGGTATAAATAGCCGGACGGAATTAGTACCCTCGCCCCGGGCTTACGCCCGGAACGGCGCTCCGCGCCGTTGGCTCGGGAATAATGTTAAAGAACGTTTAAACGTCTCACACCAATGCCTAGCCACTCCTTCTAGCAAACACAGTTGTCGGACATCTCTTTTGAAGTTTCCGTTGGTTGTTCTGACCGTAACGTGTCGGACAATCCCCTTTTCATCTGGATAAACTTCCTCAACAACCGCCATGGGCCATCTTCCGCGTTGGCAGTCCTTGTCTACTAATAACACAAGATCCTTGACTGCTAGGTTTCTCTTCGGTTCGAGCCACTTTTGACGTGGTTGTAAGGTAGGGAGTATTCCTTGAGTGAACGTTTCCAGAAAGTGTTCGCGAGGAGTTAGGCTTGACGCCAACGTCTGTTGTAGCAGTCTCTCTCAACAAATATACCTGGTGGTACGCACGAATTGGAATGCAGAAGAAGTAGCTTACTTGGAGTTAATGAATCCAAGTCGTCTGGTTGACTCTCGTTTCGAAGAAGGGGACGATCATTCAAAATTCTTTCAACCTCAATGAGGAAGGTTTGGAATGCTTCGTCATCGACCACTTGCTCATTCATCACCGCCGCGAGTATCCGACGAATCGAACGTATCATTCGTTCCCAGATTCCACCACTATGACTGGCCAAAGGTGGATTGAAATGCCACGCTACTTCTTTCGCTCGCAAACTATGCTGAATATTTAACTGTGCTTCGTCACACTTGATTCTCTCGAAATCTTCTTTTAAGATCCTGTTGCCTGCCACAAAGTTCGATCCATTGTCGCTGTAAATAGCATTTGGAAGACCTCGTCGAGCACTGAAACGGCTGAAGGCGCAGAGAAAGGATTCGGCGTCGAGCGTATGAGCAACTTCGATATGGATGGCTCGCATCACTAAGCAGGTGAAGACACAACCGTATCTTTTAACTTGGCATCTTCTTCTTTTTACCAGGAACGGACCGAAGTAATCGACGCCTGTTGAAGCAAACGGGCGTTCAAATGCTGTAACACGAGGCACTGGAAGCGAAGCCATAATTTGCTTGCAAGGTGGCGCATACTTCTTACGACAAATTTTGCATTTGGCCGATTATGTAACGGATTCTGGAGCGTCCTTGAAGAATCCACAGGTCTTGTTGAATAGCAGCGAGAACGGCTCGGGTTCCAGCATGTCCTTCTCGTTCGTGGTAATGTCGAATCAAAGGACCAACGATGTGGTGTTTACTTGGGATTACTGTCGGATGTTTGGCATCAAAGGATATTTCAGCTCTTTCCAATCTACCGTCAACTCTCAATAAACCTTCGTCTCCCATGAAAGGTGATAAGGCAGCCAACTTGCTCGATTTTTTCACGATAGCATTGGAGGGAGGATCATTGCTCGATCTACGTTTGAGACATGCCACTTCTTCTGGAAAGGATTCACGTTGCACATAACGAATAATGATCGTCTTCGCATTTCGCAGCTCTACGACTGATAAAGAGTTCACTCCGGCCCCTGTAGATTCGTCAGGGCTGGGCGTTCTTGGGTTTCGGACCTCGAGACCGTCGTAATTTCGTACTTGATTGAACAGCCTTTAAATAGCGAATAAATCGAATGAGCTATGCGACTCCCTTCTGGAGACGATACCACGATGAATAATGCTGCATGAAGACATCGAGCGGTTTAACTTGTTGTGCTTGTGTCTCGTAAACTTTGACGTCCTTCTTCCATTCGAGAGCTTCGTCAGGAAGTGTGCTTATTTCTGTTGGACGGGTTGGCCACGCTTCTGCTTTACCTCGAAGAAAATCCGGTCCGTTGATCCATTGGTTAATTTCACGTGCATCGGTAGGTCGCAGGCCTCGGGAAGCATAATCGGCTGCGTTAGCCTTGGAATCGATGTATCTCCAACTTGATGGGCTTGAGAGGTCGTGGATGAGAGCGATCCTGTTGGCCACGAACGTCTTGAACCGGTTAGACTCATTGTTAAGGTATTGTAAAAAGCACGTAGAATCCGTCCAGAACGTGACTGAGTCGACCTCTAGATCCAACTCCTGGTTGATTTGGCGGTGTTGTTTAACTGCTACCGTCGCCGCAGTGAGTTCCAACTTTGGAATGGTAGTTGGCTTTATCGGCGATACTCGCGATTTGGCCATCACCAAAGCACAATGAACTTCGCCGTCCACGTCTTCGAAGCGCAAGTATGATACGACACCGTAACCATCGAAAGATGCATCAGAAAAATGATGTAGCTGAACACTCGTCAACTGTCCCAATTTCCAGGACTTGAAATACCTAGGAACACTAACATTCCGTAAACGAGGTAAGTCGTTCAACCATCTTTCCCACGCCTGCAACATACTCGGTGAAATGTCCTCGTCCCATCCAATCTTGTCTTTGCACAACTGTTGTAGTATACGCTTAGCCGGCAGGATAAAAGGTGCCGCGAACCCCAAAGGATCGTACATGGAGCTCACATCCGATAAAATACCTCAACGTGTTGGTGCTTTCTTTCTCTCGGCCGTTCGGAAATTGAAGGTATCTTCTTTCACATTCCATTCTACCCCGAGGGCCCTTTCAACTGGTAATTCATCAAAGTCTAGGCTGACAATGGATTTCGCACGTTCACTTTCAGGAATCGAAAACAAAACTTTCACATCATTGCATACAAACTTCGTTAATCGGAGCGATCGCTTCGCTAAAAGCCGACAAAGTTCTTCGATCAGTTGGATAGCGTCCTCCGTTTTCTGCACAGATTTAAGACAATCTTCTACATAAAAATCTTTACGGATAGTCTTGATCGTTTCCTCGTCGAACTCGTTTTCGAATTCGTCAGCAACCTTGCGTAGACAGAATCCCGCGCAACTCGGGGAGAATGTGGCTGCAAAGAGATGAACCAACATTTTGTATTCTTCCGGTAATTGTTCGTAATCGCCGTCACGCCACCAAAGAAACCTGAGGAAATTGCGATGCTCTGAAGAAACTCGAACTTGGCAAAACATTGCCTCAATATCGGCTAGAAATGCAGTCGGGGCTTGGCGAAACCTGGTTAAGACTCCTACGAGTGTATTCGTCATATCCGGTCCTTGGAGCAGTCGATTGTTCAAGGATATTTCGTCATACTTGGCAGCGCAGTCGAATACAATTCTTGGCTTTCGAGGATGCAAAACTGGATGGTGGGGTAGATACCATACGCCTCTCTTGTTGGTCTCAGCATCACGCAATTGGCTTGGGTCGATCTTAACAGCATACCCTTTGTCAACGTATTCGTCAATACCAATCTTGTACTTGGCATGGAGATCTGGATCTTTCTTCAGTCGCATTTTCAGAGAATGTAGTCTCCTTACAGCAAGGCTTCTATTGTTGGGAAAATCTGGTTTCGTGCGAAATGGAAGATCCCGCTGGTAGCGACCATCAACAATCTTCAAGGAATTCTCCATCATGGTTAGTGCTTCCTGATCTTCTACTGACATGCTTAAATCTGGGGAATATGTGAACTCACTGAAATCCATTTGAAACATCTTATTCACCGTCTCGTTGAGGAACTCATCTTCCTGGCGGATGAAGAAAGAACTAATATTGTTGTCAGAGTTAGTTCCTAAAGGACCTGCTACAGACCATCCCAAAGGGGTTCGAACCGCGTATGACTCTTTCTTCCGACCACGTCTTTCTTCTAGTTTCCAGTCTGCTTCAGGGATGTCAGCGCCAATTAGAATTGTGATCTCCGAACTTTCCAGTTCTGGCACAGAGATTCCATCAAAGTGTTTCCACTTGGTTATATCTTTTTCGTTCGGGATACAGCTTGCAGCAACCGACAGATCTTTGACTGAAAGTGCGTTTGGAATTTCTAAACAATCTTTCTGTCCTAGGCCTTGCACATAGAAGAAATGAGATCTGCCAGATTCTTGGGAGACTCCGTTCATAGTAGTCAACTGAAAATCTATCGGCTGCCCCTTCAATTTTAACTCGTTAGCTAGACTCTCCTTTACTAGCGTTGTATTCGATCCTTCATCTCTTACTGCATATGTGACTTTTTCGATACCATTGTCTCTTCCAAACACTTTAACAGGAACTACTCTCAAGCAAACTTGTTTCTTTATAGTTCCGGTTGGTCCACAGTGTCCTGTCTGAGCATTATGGAATTGGACGGGCGAAGAACTGGTTGTCTGTCCTTGGATTTTCTCGTTATTTGTTTTGACCGGAGCTTGGACTTTGTTGTCTCGATTAAGTTCAACGGGATGAAGCATGGGATGGTGTTGTTTTCCACATCCAGGAATAAAGCATCCATGGTATTTCTTACATCTCTTGGCGAAATGTCCTTTAGAAAGGCAAAGATTACACAGTCCTTGCTTGGAAACAAAGGCTTTCCGTTCATCATATGATTTCCCTTGGAACTTGAAACATCTTTCGACAGTGTGACCTTCCTTATCACAAAAGTAGCATTTCAGTTTTGCAGACGATCTCCCTCCGGGTGAATAAATGGTATACGCAGAATCTTGTTCTTTAATGGATCCGGTCGATGCAAACGATGAGACTCTGCGAGACTGTCCACCAAACCGAGGGTTCTTGTTTCTTTCCCGTTCGATTTCGGGTTTTGTGTTAATCAAGCGGCCATACTCCGTATTCGCCAACTTCGCTCTCTTCACGACAAACTTGGTCAACTGCGAGAAATCTGGCTCCTTACCTTGGTCCCGTGAATTTTGTGCTTCTTTCGCCCATTCGGAGCGAAGGTACCTGGGTAATCGTAACACGACTGCACTCATATTGCCTCTGGAATTGATATCTGCCTGATACCCAAGCTTGCATAAATTCATTTCACAATTCTCCATATCCCTTGCTGATTGTAAAAGTTTCTCACTTTCGAATTCTTTAATTGTTCCACCTTTGGTCACTCGGTCGATATGCGACGCCGCAACGATGTGAGTCTGCCCGAACATCTCTCGCAAAACCGATTTTGCCTTATTATATCCTTCTTCTGGAGGTAACATAACAGTTCCACTAACGGCATCCATAGCTTCTCCTGTGCAGAGCTAAATCAGAAAACTTCTTCTTGCATTGGGATCACGTTCGATATCTTCTACATTCGTTTTGACGTTTTGTATAAAGCTAGGATATTTCAGTGGGTTTCCATCAAATGTCATGTATTCTCTCCTTGGCATTTCCAGACCCTTACTTATTGAAGAACCAATAGTAGTCGCCATCATCCTAAACATATCCTGCTGCTGTCCGAGAACTTGAGAAGCATCCGTTGGCTCGGAATGGCTCGGGACACAAATATTTCCTTCTACAATATGGTTCTGCTGTTCCACAAACAAGGGGGATACATTTTGCGTTGTATCAGGTTGGGATCCACTTCGAGAATGCTGCTGTTGTGGTTGCCTTGTTACTGCTCTGCTATCTAGCGGTGCTTGACCATTAACTACTCGCTCGTGTTGACCCTGATAAATGAGCACGACCTGTCGTTCTCCCAACACAGGCCGTCGTTGAAACACATTATTCTGCAGTACAGCTCGTTGTAGCTTGGAACGAGGTGCGACTGGGGATCTAGTTGGCTAGATGTTACGTCAGGATTAGGATGTCCTTCAGGATGTAAGTGAGGGTCGTTTGGTACATTTTCGTTATTAATACCAGGCTGAAACACGTTTGGCTGGCTAGGATCATTGGCCAACCCTTCTTGTACTTGCTCACCTTGATCGAATCCTAGATCTGAATCATCACTGTCAATTCCCATATCTTCTTCTAACCGAGCCTTGGCTAACCTGGCTTCCATCTCTTGTAACTCTCGTCTTTCCCTTAGTTCTGCTCATTTACGCTGTCTTTCGAGCTCTTCCCTTTTCATTTCTTGCTCTAATTCTCGACTTTCTTTATCCAACTTCTGTCGTTCTTGCTTAAGATCCATCTCCATTAAACTTCTTGCCCGTGCTGTCTTACTTGTCTTCGATCTAACGCTCATGGCTGAGCTGACAAAGCCACTTTTGTTTGTTGATATGTTTCCATACTTCTCAATGGGCAACTAGACTGTGCCCTTTGTGGTAGATCAACATTATTGACCCATTTGGCGGTATGTTCCATTGAACTTCTTTCAACAACCGAGGGGTATTCTTGCCTTTGTGATAACACATCATTATCCTTTCTCACGGCACTCATATCTAATCTCCCATTCGAGTCCCTTATGTTCATTTTGCAAAAGTATTAAATCTGTAAATTATATACTGAAACCTTGTTTAGTCTCCTCACAAGTTCTCAAACTTCATTCTCTTGTTGAAGTATTTCATACGTAAATAAACAATTGTTGATTCCAAAACAAACAACACACCTCGAATTTAAGCGATTGTTCGTTGCTGACGTGATGCCTAATATAGATAAGTCTCGAATATCCACAGTCAAATATATCCACAAATATCAGATCAATGTCAAATATATCCACAAATAAAGATCAGTGCCAAATATATCCACAAATATCAGATCAGTGTCAAATATATCCACAAATAGAGATCAGTGTCAAATATATCCACAAATGGAGATCAGTGTCAAATACATCCACAAATAGAGATCAGTGTCAAATATATCCACAATACACAATCTAGTCTGCTCGAACAATTACCTTTATAGACTTTATATTTCTTAAATATTTCAACTATATCACATCCAAATATAACCACGAGGTAGTCAGAAACTGTAAGTTGAAGTCTGCGGTTCTTTAGGACGTCAGCGAATCGCACATAAACATGAAACCGAACAATCCAAATCAATATATATTTAACGTGGTTTCTAAACAATAATTTACAAACATAGATATTTAACTATACAAATACGATTACAAACAATGAAACAACACAAGACAAATACCTGACTGTTAGTCCTTCTGGCTACCACACACTACAACGTTATAGTAACTTTAAAACAACAGGTGAGATCTCGTATCGAATAAACAAAAAAAAACATGTGTTCACATTTTTTCCCAATTGCGGGTTTTTGTCCAGCCCTAAAGGCGGGTCTAGATCCTACAATTGTGAATATTTGACATTAAAATATGTATGTAATATAAAACGGCTTGAACACATGCTCGCTCGACACTCGGTTGTCACTTTGAAACACATAGCATTTTCATTGATATAACTTTCAATTATCGCGACATAATAATTTTCAGTATATTAAGAACTAAGCAAAAGTGTTTAGGGAGCGCGTATTGACATATTACGGGTTCTACTTAATCACAAAGTATATAAATTGTATGAAATGTATCGATTGACACTCAACTCTAGAAATATCACTATGATATATCAGATTTATTTATGTAGAAAAGTGTCAATCGATCCAAAACTTGGTTTAATCAATTTCAAACCCTTTCATTAATAGCAAATATATTGTTAGACATTCCCAACAAATTATTCTTATAAGCCTTGTTCTGATTTAAAATCAGCCTAGTTGCCCATTGGAAGCCTGTGGAACTTTCTTGCTTCGCCGGCGGGTCGCACCTGGAGAAATCACAAAGTCCGGTTCTTTCTTTACCACGTTAATTATTAACTTTGAGAATTTTAATGAAACTTAATTGTTTTAAAATGTTATATTAGATCTTCTGTGAACGAAATGGAGCTGAAATACTTCGTTCGCAGAGCATTCTATCCCCTGTACGTTTGAGATATACAATGATGTTATGCCATATGGGGCCCAGACAATGACTTTCAGAAGTTGTTGGGACACATGTAGTTTTACATTGTAAGTGGATCATTACAGGTTTTTACACACAATACCGCTCCCCTCCCCCTCCACCCAGCCCAATCAATGTTGTTTAAACCAAAACACATCAAACCTGACGAGAAATGGGACACAACATTGAACAGGGGGCGGGGGGAGGGGGGATTGACGTTTGTTGAAATTCAAAGGTTTTGTGGCATCTGTCCCAAGACTTTTGAAACTGATTGTAGTCGATTTCACAAGTTCTCAAATTAGCCACTTAACTTCTTGATCAGAAACCAACAACTAAAGCAATTTATACCGTCCAGTAGTTATTACATTAACTATAAAAACATTTTATGACTAAACTAACCTATCATTAGTTTATAAAATGTCGCGTTATTACAAAATTGTATTAAATTAAACATCTTTAAAGTTCCAACAATTTTGTACACTGATTTTACTCGAAATAATTATTTTATTCGCAAGACAATCTACTGTTTTACTGTGAATAACTATATTTGCGAATCGGGAATGAGAATTTTTACATTATTGTTCAAATATTATTGATATACCATTTGTAAACAATGTACGTTTTATACATTGCGAGCTAATAATATATGTATCCGTTTTATATTAATAATTGTATATGTGTTTGTATATTTTACAAACACAAGACTGCTTCTTGCCAAAATTGAGAAACTATATATTTATGTAGTTGTGTATAAGACAAAATTTCATGAAAGATTCTACTTCTGGTATATATTTTGACTCATTTCGTGCTTTCGCTATACCTTGTTAACATTAAGGTTACTTCACATGATGAACGTGCGTTTTAGTATATTGAACATGGCGCAACGAATTCTACACAGCCAATTTCGCGCAAGTCGGAACAGATCTGCAACAGATCTGTTAAAACCTGTTGTCAACAAGCCGATATCTGGATGCGTTCGCGCGCGCTCGCCTTGTACCTGTCTGTTCTGACAGGTCCGCAACGGCCTGTCAACAGGTCTGTTACAAGCTGTTGTGACAGAGCTGCAGCAATGCTGTTTTCAACAGGCATGTCGCAAGTTGTTGTGACAGAGCTGCAGCAATGCTGTTTTCAACAGGCCTGTCGCAAGTTGTTGACACATAGCTGCAGCAATGCTGTTTTCAACAACTTGCGACAGACCTGTTGCAAACCGAGGAAAGCGCCTTAGCCTGCAGACGTTCATACAAACACTTATAAACAAACTTGCGAGATAATTTTTGAGCAAAACAGCCGAAAAAATACGACAAATTAAAGGTTTTTATCGCAAACAATTTTCAAAATTAATTGGTCCTTAAGTACGACCGAGATATGACAACCTACTTGCATATTTTTCTTCAAAGTAGTACATACAATAACACAAAGCTTCAATATATAAGGCGTCTTCCTCGCTCGCAGATTTCACTTGAAATTGGAAAGAAATTATATAACGAATTTCATATTCATGCATATCAACAATGAAGAACGTTGCAGTGAACACTCGGTTGTTCATGTATTTTTCATTAGTTAAGCTCTAGATCTTGTGTTCTCATTGCCACAGTTTCTTCAAAAATCAAAACAGCTTTGAACTTGTTTGATTTTGTTTGAGGCATTTGTTGAAATTTTGTTTGGCCATAGGCAGCCCAAAACGGCGTTTAGAATGCACCAAATGCTTCCAAATGTCAATTTGGATTAAGCTCGCCCCATTCCTCTGTTATTTGTCGCGCGCCGTAAGCACTCAATGAAAAGCATTGTTCATATATATAGATTATACCTAAGGTTGGCAACTATATCTCAACTGACGAATATACGACTTCGGCAAAACGAAAAATACTTCGCACACGTAAATAAAACATGATAAAAAATTATACCACATTGAACTCTGATAATTTTTCTATATACCCGCACATAAATTTTGTTTTCAAGACTGCAAGGAAGCTGAAAAATTTGCACAAACATTTCATGGTCTGGCGAAAATTTTGTTGTCTCCATGCGGGATGCTAGAGGTTATTTCATTCGTCATATTTTCAAAAAAATTATGTGATTCAATTGGTTGAAAAAGTAAACAGTTTGTGACGTATTTATAGTAAAAATTTGGTTTCAGGGGGGGGGGGGGGTTGAACTACAACAGGAAGACTGCTAAAAGAAGATGCAATGGTGGATTTTAACAACTTTTTACATCCATCCATAACTTTTATCCACAGCGAAACAACCAGGCAACTTTTACCTACATGTACACGTAATGTCATGAAATTCTGAGTAATAATGGCGAAGAAAATTTGTTAACAAGACGGCGATATGTGAACACGCTTCGTTGTTAACCTCGGAAAAGTTATATAGGTATGAATTTATTTTATAGCGTTTTTAATACTGTAACTTGGAACAATAGGTTGGATAATTTATTTTTACCTAGTAATCAAGTATTCAGTATTAAATATGTGTTTGTACTGAATCTCTAGTCACTCAGTAATTTTAAATAGCTATATATAATATAGCAAGAATATTTCGAAGTGAATTCTGTAACACTGCTTTAAATAGTACATAAAACTGTTTTTATATCAAAACAAATTTGCATCTTATCTTGCCCCTGTTTTATTTAATATCAGTAAGACAGTATTCTCAGTAATATATACAGTCACTATAAAAACTAACATGTACTTTAAAGTTTAAACTAGGGAGATGTTTAGGCTTTTATTATAGAATACATATTGAACTTTCAGAATGTTTTATATACATAAATGCAAAATTCCATGCTGGGGTTTTTATAATAATACAAGCATTCTTACAAATTGCAGCCTATTGTGGGAAATACACATTCACTATTAAACGGAATAAATTCACCTATATATAAACTTTGCCGACCAAAGTTCACAAGTCACAACGAAGCGTGTTCACATATCGCCGTCTTGTTAACAAATTTTCTTCGCCATTATTACTCAGAATTTCATGACATTACGTGTACATGTAGGTAAAAGTTGCCTGGTTGTTTTGCTGTGGATAAAAGTTATGGATGGATGTAAAAAGTTGTTAAAATCCACCATTTTATCTTCGAAAAAAAATTGCTCTTGTACTTTAGCAGTCTTCCTGTTGTAGTTCAATGGTTCAACCCCCCCTGAAACCAAATTTTTACTATAAATACGTCACAAACTGTTTACTTTTTCAACCAATTGAATCACATAATTTTTTTCAAAATATGACGAATGAAATAACCTCTAGCATCCCGCATGGAGACAACAAAATTTTCGACTGACCATGAAATATTTGTGCAAATTTTTCAGCTTCCTTGCAGTCTTGAAAACAAATTTTTTATCATGTTTTGTTTGCGTGTGCGAAGTATTTTGCGTTTTGCCGAAGTCGTATATTCGTCAGTTGAGATATAGTTGCCAACCTTAGGTATAATCATAGGTCTCCCGAAAAGGTCTTTTATTTAAAAAAAATCCATACAATTTGCTTTAAAATGCAATGCTTTGACATGCAATGCTTCAATGTACAGTAAAACCTCTATAATTTGTATTACATGAAGTACGCGCAACATCACAATAGCGTTGTGTCATTATGTAATATATATCCCCAAGGTTGGCAAGTAAATACAAATTTAAAACTGTATACACAAACTTAATGACGAAAAAACTCGTACATAAACATCGAAATTCATTAAAAAAACTAACTCACTATGGTAAGAAATAACTTTAGTACTTCTACATTGTGGTTTTTTCTTCTCTCATCACTTTTAAAAAGTTAATTTTGCGAAAATTCCGAGGAAAATGGCTCAATTTGGTCACAGAGTAGATAAGACATACAGAGACGTAACTGACTGTTGTAAACACTGCGGAAGATTACGTTATCATGTACCCACTTTTTTTCAGGCGACCGGACGAAAAATGATCAACTGCGCGTGCTCAGCACGTTTAAAGTGAGTCGTCATCAGGTCGTCATCCAATCAGATGCATGCATCTGGTAACTTGCCGAGCATGCGCACAAAAAAGTGGGTACACTAGTTACGTCTCTGTATGTCTCTACTCTGTGATTTGGTCAAAACTATGCGGGATGACTGCTCCCGGCGTTACGTCACAAAATAAAGCTCTATGATTTGCTGAAAATTTTTTAAATTTCAAAAAAACTCTCTGATTGGCAGGCTGAAATTTCCCAGCGAATCAGAGAGCTTTATTTTGTCACGTAACGCCGGGAGCCATCATCACGCATAGTTTTGATCAAATTGAGTTACGAATTTGATGAATTTTCCTCGGAATTTTCGCAAAATTAACTTGTTTAAAAGTGATGAGAGAAGAAAAAACCACAATGTAGAAGTACTAAAGTTATTTCTTACCATAGTGAGTTAGTTTTTTTAATGAATTTCGATGTTTATGTACGAGTTTTTTCGTCATTAAGTTTGTGTATACAGTTTTAAATTTGTATTTACTTGCCAACCTTGGGGATATATATTACATAATGACACAACCACAGAGTAGAGACATACAGAGACGTAACTAGTGTACCCAACACCGCGGAAAAACGTCTGCGCATGCACCAAATTATGAAAATATGGCGGGGAATTTGAATATCAATTTCTAAAACAAAAACATGCTGATTAATTGGTCAAAAATTAGTAAAACAAACGAGAAAATATAGCAAATGGGTAGACTAGACATTAATTGAAAGCGTCCTGGCATTTAAAGTATGGAATGAAATATAATTCATGTAAAAAAATGTTGATTTTAACGGACACTACTTCGAAAATTTTTGCAAACTAATTATTCAAAACAAAAATTCAAACTAAAAAGTTAAGAAAACTCTCGAAAAGTTAAGCTTCTTAACCTTCTTAACCCACTCAAATTGTAGAATAAATCCTAAAGTTTAATTATTGTGAACACGCAAATTTTTTATATTTGGCGACACAATTTTTTTTAAAGAAATTTTTAAAGAAATGTATCTCAACGAAAATTCGGAAATTGTCATTGCTTAGTTGATAAACAAAATGTTTCAGACGATAAATTTCTCAACAATCACCTTTAGTTCATGTTCTTGTACAATACAATTTCTTGAACCTTCTGGCTGTATTTATTTCTAGTTTTGGAATGACATGTTTATTTTTGCGCTTGAAATCTGGCTGTAAAGACGCACAATAAAAGTACCGCCATTTTGAGCCTTCGGAAACGTTCGGAACAGCTTCTCATCAAGTTCGCAATACTATTACAGGTAAGGTTGACGCATGCGCAGACGTTTTTCCGCGGTGTTAGTGTACCCACTTTTTTTGTGCGCATGCTCGGCAAGTTACTAGATGCATGCATCTGATTGGATGACGACCTGATGACGACTCACTTTAAACTTGCTGAGCACGCGTAGTTGATCATTTTTCGCCCAGTCGCCTGAAAAAAAGTGGGTACATGATAACGTAATCTTCCGCAGTGTTTACAATGGTCAGTTACGTCTCTGTATGTCTTATCTGCTCTGTGACACAACGCTATTGTGATGTTGCACGTACTTCATGTAATACAAATTATAGAGGTTTTACTGTACATTGAAGCATTGCATGTCAAAGCATTGCATTATAAAGCAAATTGTATGGATTTTTTTAAATAAAAGATCTTTTCGGGAGACCTATAGTATAATCTATATATATATGAACAATGCTTTTGATTGAGTGTTTGCGGCGCGCGACAAATAACAGAGGAATGGGGCGAGCTTAATCCAAATTGGCATTTGGAAGCATTTGGTGCATTCTAAACGCCGTTTTGGGCAAACTATGGTTTGGCTCAAAATTCAAAAACAACTAAACATGATTACGTCACTGTGATTACGTGATTGATATGTTTGTAATATATCGTCCAATTGCAACGAGGAATGATGACGTGTGCACACGCCTTTATCCAATCAGATTAAAGAAATATAGCGATAGCACACGTCAGCAAATTGGAATTTGGATTTTGGAAATCGGAACTATTTTTTAAAAACAATACAGCGGCTTTTGCATTTAATCAGAGAATAGATACTCCATAGCCTCTCCTATGTGATTTAATATTGCCACCAATGACAATGATTGAATGAGAAAGTGAAGCCGGAAGTGTCCATTTTGTGCGATTTTTCTCTTTACTCACATTGTCGATCTGTTTCCCAACAACAGGCTTGTTGAAACTTGTTGTGACAGGACAAAAATTGTTTGTTGTGGACAGGTTTGTCGCAGGTCTGATAACAAGCTTGCTGCAGACTTGACAAAAACAACTCGCGACTGGTCTGTTGGAACAAGTTGGAACAAACCTGTTGATTCCAACAGACTTGCTGCAAGTTGTTCTATCAGACCTGTTATCTCTTGTTAGTAACAGGTTTGTAGCGGGTTGTTTCAACAAGTCGCTGCGGCTGTTGTCAACAGCTTGCGACAGACCTGTTCCCGCAAGCGTGTTACCGCCTGACGAAACCAACAGACCTGTCGCGACTTGTTGACAACTTGACGCAAGTCGGTAAAACCAACAGCTTGCGACAGGCCTGTGAGATTTCTGGCTGTGTAGGTGTAACTGTGTAGGTGTAAATTTTTAGTGAAGAAAGTCAAGAAAATGCTGATTTGGAAAATCTTCATTTGATGGGTATTCTGTTTAAACATGTCCAGTATTGGCTGACTAAAGAAATATATAGGTATCCCATCAAAAAATCAAAATATGTCTTTGTTTACCTCAACGTTTGTCTACATATCTCGATTTGAATCTTCATAGGTACGGTAAAAAAAATGTGTGCGGAAAATACCTCTTCTTCAATGGTTTTTCTGATGACGTTTTCTTTGGCAACTTCGTGAATTATCAGTGACAAATCCAATGCATATCAGGAAAACCACTAAAGAAGAGAAATTTTCCGCACACGTTTTTTTTACCGTGCCTATGAAGATTCGAATTGCGATATCTAGACAAACGTTGAGATAAACTATAAACATATTTTGATTTTTTTATGAAGGTACTTATATATTTATTTAGTCAGCCAATACTGAAAATGTTTAAACTGAACACCCATCAAATGAAAATTTTCGAAATCAGCATTTTTCTGGCTTTCTTCACTGAAAATTTGGTAAAGTTACACCTAAAAGTCGTTGCGCAATGTACAATAGACTAAAATGCACGTTCATCGTGGGAAGTAACCTTAATAGTGTAGCTTCAGACTTTATGATAAGAAAGATTTTCTAGACGTGTAAACAAATAAAAATAGTAAGTTTATACTATAAATCAGTTTATTTTACCTGTATCGGTTTAAATTCGTTGTTAAGTTGCAAATAATTCAGTTTGAGAACGCAATAATTGGGCATATCCAAGTGGGGCAAATTCGGGGCAGTTTTGGCACTCGGATTGGGAAATCTGCTAGGCCTTCGATTTTTTCGCTTCCGCCCTTCCACCGCCCCGCCCCCAAATCACCTAGTCCCAGTCTTCTCATGTGAAAAGCACTGAATATTAAAAAGAAATAATAAAAATAGAAGGCCTAGGTCTAGGCTGAGTATCAGGTACTGTCATTACATCTTAAGTTAACTGACATGAATTAATTTTCTCCTCAATCAAATCAGTGGAGTAGCTAGCGAAATTTGACTAGTCCCGCTCTAACACACCCACATTCTAGGGGGGTCCGGGGGCATGCTACCCCGGAAATTGAATTTTAGAAGTCTGGAATGGCCATTTCCTGCGATTTCACGGCGAAATACTCCAAAGGGAACATCAAAAAATTGTGTGATAAGCGGAAAATTTTTGATAATTTTTTTAGAAAAAGATTTTTGTAACTTTTTGAAATCCATGCATTTTTTATCATATTTCACTATATATTTTTCAACTTAACTGAAAATGTAGCTAAATATAGTCAAGTCACGAAGGAAGAAAACTCATGTATACAATACGCGTCTGTAATATGTTCTTTCACGTGAAGATAATTGTTTCGTTTAGTACGAAAGTTTAGCGAACGACTTTTGAGCGATGTGAAAGAAGATTACGAAGTTTACGGAAGCGACTTTTGGTTGATGGAAAATATAAGGATTTTTGGACGCCATGTTTGATCGATTGTTGTGATAAACTGTGAGACATGAACAGGGTTTCGATAACATTTGTTGAGTTTACTTTGAGCCTGATCGCAGGCTGTTGAACCTGATCGCAGGCTAAGCACGTGCGATCGCCTTTACATACGGGGAATTTAGCACAAAAAGAACAAGTTTTATATTATTCGATTGAACGTGTATTATATTCGATTATTCGAGGATATTTCGTTACGAACTCAAAGTTAGTTATGTTTTTAAGTCTTTTACCTTATTATGTGACATTAAAGTTTATATATTTTTAATGTTATCCGTGTGTTAAACGAACATTGAGTATTAAGCGAGGAAATTCGATATATTGTGCGACGCGCATAACATGGCGCCCAACGTGGGGCAGACTTTTTCGAAATAAAGACGCCCAATCGAACCCGAAATTACGAAATGGCCGACGAAATGAAGGAAAAATTGAATAGGCTACATGCCAGACGACGAGGTCATCGCAGTGTGTGTACAAAACTCGAACTTATTGCTCTACAACTCCAAGAAAAACTGAAATTATTAAGCGAAATCGACGAAGAAATATTGGACATTTGCGACGTGAATGATATACAAAACGAAATCGAAGAATCAGCCGAAACTTCCGATAGAATTTCGAATACGAAGCGAAGAATCGACAAACACACGAAATCTGCCAAGTCTGCAAACGTTCAGGATCATATTAATAATACGAATGTTATAGTTACGAATTCGAACTTGACTCCCAGCACGAGTATGGAACAGGAAAGTATCGAAAATACAACCGAAAGTACAACTGATAATTTACCGGCTACGATCGAAGAAAACGAGGAAAATACGAGTTTAAATTTAGGGAACAGTTCGCCTTTATTACAGCAATCAACAACTACGACAATGTCAACAACACCATTGGGACATTTTGTACCAAGTTTGCCCAAGCTTCCGAAGTTGGAACTCCCTAAATATGGAGGTAAAGTAACTGAGTGGAATTCTTTTTGGGACTTATACGATTCAGCTATTCATAGTAACCCAACTATTTCGAAAGTTAATAAGTTTAATTATTTACAATCATTACTCGAGGGGCAGGCAGCGCGAGCAATAAAAGGTCTCACATTGACCAATGCAAATTATGACGCTGCGATTACAATTTTGCGAGAACGATTTGGGAAAACTCAGCAGACACTAGCTGCCCACATGCATGAAATTTGGAAGATCCAAGTTTGCATGAACGGTTGAACAAGTCAACTGAGATATGTTTATGACAAAATAAGTGTCCATGTGCGGGGTTTGGCGTCTCTCGGGGTATCTTCTGAACAATACGGTAGCATGCTAATCCCAATTATTATGTCGAAATTGCCAACCGAAATCTGGCTTGAAATTGCTAGAAAATCTACGGGAGATGTTTAGAAAATTGAGGAATTGTTAGACACAATAAAAACTGAGATCGAAGCACGTGAAGTGAGCCAGTCAAGTCAACAACCGAGTAAAAAATCTTTCCCACCCTACTCCCCTAGAATACCCTCTGGAGGTGCATTTACGACTCAAGACAAAACTGGTAAACATATCCACTGTGTTTATTGCAAAGAATTTCATTTTTCGGCATCATGTGACCGAGTGACAAATCCAAATGCTCGCAAGGATATATTGAGGGGAGACAATCGGTGTTTTACATGCTTGGGGGTCGAAAAAGAATTGTAGACGATGTCACGGCAGGCATCACCAATCAATTTGTGAGGCATCCAAGGGCTCACACTACACCGCTTTCATGAATGGAAATAAACCCATCCCACCCAGTAAAGACGACGAGTTACCTGGGGATCCAAATAATACTAGCACTGCAACCGTCATTGACAATTTGACTTCAACTGATAATCCGATTACAACTGGCTATATGACAACAGAAGATTCAACGACAACAACGACCACAAAAACACGGAATAAACTTCTTCTGCAAACAGCAGTTACGCATGCGCAAGGGGAGAATGGCTCCAATCCAATACCGGTTCGATTACTTTTGGATAGCGGTAGCCAACGTTCCTACATTACCAATTCATTAAAGAAGCGACTTGATCTGGATCCAATACGAACAGAGACTCTTAATTTAAATACCTTTGGTGATGATCATTTTAAGAAACGACGTTGCGATATAGTCCAGTTATCGTTGAAGGGAAATAGTGACAATCGAAAGATAACGGCACTTTGTTTTCCAAATCTCTGCTCACCATTGATTTAAGCCTATACCCGCATTTGCAAGATTTACAGCTCTCTGATCTCAACATTCTCGAAGGACGACAAAGTGATAGCACTATCGACATTCTTATTGGCGCAGATTATTATTTCGATATTCTCACTGGCGAGATGGTACGAGGCGAAAGTGGGCCTGTGGCCATTAATAGCGACTTTGGCTGGGTTGTTACTGGTCCGACAAGTGATACAGAATCGTGTTCGAAAGTCTCGGGAGTTCATTTGCTCATCGAGGAGCTTTGTGCATTATCAACACCAACCTCACTCGCGTTGAGAGAGGATGAATCTGAACTTTCGAAGTGTTTAAGTCAATTTTGGGAGATCGAGTCGATGGGAATTAACGAGGAGGAAGTGACCAAAGAAGAGTTTTTGAAGGATATTCGATATCTCGAGAATGAAGCAAGATACGAAGTTAGTTTACCATGGAAGAATGAGAGTATTCCGAAATCGAACGGATACGGTATGTGTTTCAAACGACTCCATCAACTCAAGTCTCGTCTCGATAAAGACAAACAATTACTCGAACAATATGACAACATATTTAAGGATCAAGAGAAAATATTATTATTATTATTATTATTATTGATCTTTAAACACGGTAACCTTTCACATAGGTGATTTTCAAAGGGCCGTGCGGAAAATAAATGCATTATAAAAGAACGAACTAATAAACTAAATTATACTTATTTACAAAATATACTTATTTACTTATTTACAAGATGTAATTATTTAATAGATGATGGACAGATTTTAAACTTATTGATTCTCTTAGGGTTTTCAACAAATTTACTGGGATGCTGTTCCAATACGCTGCTCCTCTGTACGAAAAGCTATTTTTCAAGAAATTCGTTTTTGGTTTAGGTTGAGACAGCTTTAAATTACTACTGCGCAGTACGTAACCATTGTTTTCACAAGTGTGAAATAGTTGTGTTACGTATTCTGGAAGCATGCCATTAATCGCTTTAAATGTCATAAGGAGATCTCGCGTTTTCAAAATTAAGTCAAGAGGTTTCCAGCTAAGTTTTTGAAAAATGTCCGAAGATCTTATAGTATAGTCCGAATTTGTTATTATTCTTGCTGCTCGTTTCTGAAGCTTATATAATTTGTCTAAGTGTGTTTGGTTGTTATTTTGCCAAACAGTTGAACAGTAGTTAAAATGAAGCGCGACTAATGCGTTATACATAATTTTGAGCGTATCTAGGCCAACAAAATCTTTGGCTTTCTTAAAAGATTAATATTTTTTTGATATCTTGTTGCATTGTTCTTCATTTTGCCTATTCCAGCTAAGTCTATCGTCTATAACTATACCCAAAGCTTCCTTTTTATAAACTCGTTCAATTTGATGTCCGTTTATACTGATTTTTGGCACGTGATCTAAGTTTTTCAATCGTTGCCGAGATCCAATAATCATATATTTGGTTTTTTCGTTGTTTAATGTTAGTTTATTCGCTGATAACCATTTTTGAGCATTTACAAGGTCTTCGTTAAGTTTGTATTCAATATCTATGGATAAATGCCCTTGACATGATAAAATTGTGTCATCAGCAAATAAATTAGAGTGTGTTGTTTCTAGGCAGTTCGGGAGGTCGTTTATGTAAATGAGAAATAATAGAGGTCCAAGATTTGAACCCCGAGGTACTCCACAACGAATTGTGTCAATATCAGATTTACAGTTATTTAGCATGCAACCACCACGGTGTTACTTAGTTACTTATTTAGCATGTAACACCACGGTGTTACTTTCAACGTCTAAACGAACTGTTTCGAACACACGAGATTCACGGGTTTTGTGATGCGTCTGATGTTGCGTTTGCGGCAGTGGTGTATCTTCGCACAGCACACAGCAATGGAGATATCGAAGTGAATTTGATTGCATCCAAAACACGAGTTGCGCCTATCAAAAGACGGACTATACCACGACTTGAACTGTTAGGAGCAAATATATTAGCACGATTGGTCGATACCATTATTCAAGCACTCACGTCGATTAAGGAAATTGCCGATGTTGTTTTATGGACGGACTCGTTCACCACATTATGCTGGATCCGAAACCACAAAGCATGGAAGACGTATGTCCAGAACCGAGTAAACGAAATCAGAGAGTTAACAAGCAACTACGAATGGAGACATTGCCCGGGGGAAATAAATCCCGCTGATTTGCTCTCTCGGAGATGCTCGGGACGTAACTCGCCGAAGCTGAAACGTGGTGGAATGTTCCAATGTTTCTCAAGGAGTCTAAAGATCAATGGCCAGTTAATCCGCAATCCACGAGTAAAGACAACGACGAAGCTTACAATGAAGCGATGAAAAACCCACATCCAATTGTACATTCCTTGTCTGGAATATCGTTAAATGGTTCTGTCCATATTGAGAGAATTCTCGACCCTCAGAGATACAGCACGAAGACTAAGTTACTTCGCGTTCGACCCTTATTTTTGAGGAGGAGTGAGGAGGAGTGAGGAGAAATGAGGAGGAGGAGTGTGGAGGAGAAATGAGGAGGAGGAGTGAGGAGAAATGAGGAGGAGTGAGGAAGAATGAGGAGTGAGGAGGAGGAGTGACGTCACTCATTAACACACGTCATAATTATATACAATGACGTCACGCGGGCGAGCTTAAACACGATCGGGAAAAACTTGCTGACTACGCATTTTTTAGCGTCCCCCACGCGTATGATACAATAGTTAGGGCTATATACAAGAGAATATGTTGTTGTCTGGAGTTTTATAAGTACAGCTCTAGCATTTTGCTGTTATTGTCAAGTGATTCCTTTAATTTAGCTCCTAGAGGAGTAAAAAATCTGAGACTATATGAAATAGCATTAGTGTTATATATCCAAAACTTATATATTCGGGGTATACAGCTATATGTTTTGTTGTTAAGTAATATATAAATATTATCAAGCGTCAAAACGCTGAGAAATAGCATGCGGTAAGAGTTATGTATCTACAATTAAGCTAATATTTAAATCCCGGTCTGCCATATGAGGTCTATATACGAGAGAATATGTTGCTGTTTAGAGTTATATAAACACATGGAAATTAGAGGTTATGATATATAATTGTCAAGGGATTTCTATATTTTAGTGGTAGTTTTTTAAAGTACTAAAACTCGGATAAGGTTAATAAATTTAAGCTATATTAAAGCACACCGGTTGCTATGTGTTGTTAGGGTGAAACTAATTAAAGGATTAACTTTTATCAGAGATTTGCATTTTTCTACTGTGTGGATAAATACGGGTAGATTAGGATATTCATTGCGCGGGCGTCGCGGGTTATCCGTGCGGGAAGAGAGAAAGCGATTTAGACAAGACAGGAGCGCTTTGCAGCCAAAACTTGAAAGACTTTGTGTGGAATCCTGTAATGGTTGTCAAGTCGGTCATCCTAGTCAAAGACAACATGACTGCCTCATGATGAACGAAAACGAACGAGGGCAAATAAGGAATCTATTCGTCACAAAAATCATATTTTAAACATATTTTAGACATATTTTAAACTAAACAGTTCCTAATCCCGAGTTGTCAACGTCGTTGTTAAGGTCAATACTTACATGTTGTTCAACGTTATTTTAGCAAATATTCTACATACATATATACTGTTAAGATGACCGAGTCAGATCATAAGTAAGCTTATCAAGAATATAAGTTAGAATTGGAACAGTTGTAATAAATTTTGCGATAAAAACATGTAATCGTTATATACGTTGTTATGTGTTGCTAAGTCATTAGCGACGCTTGCGTGCATGTATATATTAACGTACAACATATTTGTACACTAATCAGGCGGGCGGAAAGAGCGGGCTTTGCCGGCAAAAATTACACAATATTTCAGTTTTTAAATACATTTATTTCTTCAAAACGTTTTACAAAATTTAGTACGGTCTACTTCTAAGGGCATAACGTCTAGGAGTTTTTGTTATTTTTAAAGAGTTTTCATATTCTTGTCTATCTTCTGGGGATAACCTTGCAACATCTTCATTCTTCATTGGAATATATTTCGGCCTCTCGCGAAGTAATCTTTGTTCGTAACCTTCTCTTTGTTCAGGGGTCATCATTGCCAAATCTTGGGGCCTCCAATCTGTAGAGTCTACCCAATTGTGGAAAAAGTTGCGCTTGAGTTTTGGCCGTTCCTCTTCTGTTGGTGGTGGTGTAAGGAAATTAGGTTTAGGGGTAGCAGGCACTGGTGGTGCTATCTCGACAGATTCATTGGGTTGTGGCATCTCTGCAGGCACGAATGGAGTTGTCTGAACAGGAGCTTGAGTCGGAACATCCATCTTATTTTTGAATGTCAAAAACCGATTTAGTTGATCAGAGTATAATTTGCTTTTTTCCACTGCGCTAAGCTGTGGTGCATCCATGATTTCTTTCATTCTCTGTTCGGCATCATACATTGCGTTTGCAAGTGGTGGTTGACGATACGACTGTTTGTGTAAAAACTTTGCAATCTCGCCGGGAAGTACGTTTGTCTTGAGTCGATCTTGGTCACTCGTTGTCGGCTTTAAATCCAACATCAAATATCCGTGAGGCCGGCTCGTAGCATCTTCATAACTCCTCATAAACTCCTGTACTTTGCCGGGATTTATTTGCCTTGCAAGTATAGAAATTTGTTGTTTATCTCTTGGTGACTTGAACAATACGATATAATGCGCGTTTAGACTAATATTTCTCATTTCTTTGCCCTGATGAAATATATTTTGGACAATATAGATGATAGACAAATTTCGATGATGACTTCCTTTCGTAAAAAGATCAGAAATACGTTTATCTTTGCCAGATTGAGCCATAAGATCATCCAATACGATCAAATTCCGTTGCGATACGTCCAAGTAATCCGCATTGTCGATATCGTCGGGGATGCCTTCATTAAACTCGATTCCAGGCATTATCCTCATCATATCAAAATAGGACGGTTGCCATTGACCATAACACCAAATGATACGTTGAGGAGTAGGACTTATAGTCGTTTGAGCATTCTCCAAGAGAGATTTCACCCATACGGTTTTGCCGCTTTGGGTACATCCTGCAACGATGCATGTAAAGGGATGCTGCATGACTGTAACCCCATTCACCGTGAGAGTTTGCTGCCCAAGGTTACGAGTTCCATATGCATGGACAACTTTCTTGTGGCGAAGGAGATTACTCGCATTTGCAAACGTTTTACCGCTGATGTCGCATTCATAAGACATGTTTACTTCTCAAGAGTCAGTGTAAAATGATTTAAAGCAAGAGTGAAGAGGTGTATTGATCCCGATGGTTATTGTCACGTCTATGAAGATTATTGCAAAGACTATGAAAGACTATAGTCCTCACTATGAAAGAATATAGTCCTGACTATGAAAGACTATAGTCCTGACTATATGAAAGACTATAGTCCTGACTATGAAAGACTATAGTCGTGACTATGAAAGACTATAGTCCTGACTATGAAAGACTATAGTCGTGACTATGAAAGACTATAGTCGTGACTATGAAAGACTATAGTCCTCACTATGAAAGAATATAGTCCTGACTATGAAAGACTATAGCCCTGACTATATGAAAGACTATAGCCCTGACTATGAAAGACTATAGTCTTGACTATGAAAGACTATAGTCATGACTACGAAGACTATAGTAAAGACTATTAAGACTATATTAAAGACTATGAAGACTATGGTAAAGACTATGAAGACTATAGTCATGACTACGAAGACTATAGTAAAGACTATGAAAAACTATAGTCCTGACTATGAAAGACTACAGTCATGACTACGAAGACTATAGTAAAGACTATTAAGACTATATTAAAGACTATGAAGACTATGGTAAAGACTATGAAGACTATAGTCATGACTACGAAGACTATAGTCCTGACTATGAAAGACTATAGTCCTGACTATGAAAGACTATAGTCCGGACTATGAAAGACTATAGTCCTGACTATGAAAGACTATAGTCGTGACTATGAAAGACTATAGTCCTAACTATGAAACACTATAGTCCTGACTATGAAAGACTATAGTCCGGACTATGAAAGACTATAGTCCTGACTATGAAAGACTATAGTCGTGACTATGAAAGACTATAGTCCTGACTATGAAAGACTATAGTCCTAACTATGAAAGACTATAGTCCTGACTATGAAGGACTATAGTAAAGATCTATAGTAAAGACTATGAAAGACTATAGTAAAGACTATTAAGACTATTGTATAGACCTAATCTATAGAGGGCGAGCCGATCCTTATATATGTGTTATTTCCAACTAAATCTTCATTCCGTTGCTGACCGCCGAACAGAGATGACTAGCAGTTATATGAAACACAGACCATTTGTAGAACTCTTATGTACTTCTCATCCAACTCAACAGCAAGCTCTTCTTAATTCTATATCAGCTGAGCAAATTCGATGCTTGTGTCACCGTATAGAAAACTTCACATACTCTAAAGAAACAAAGGACAAACTCAGACCTTTCGAACAAGATCTAGCTGATTTAGCAGACAGAGATAGAAATTTTAAGACGAAAAATGAAATTCTTGTTCAGCGGGGAAGCGGCTTTCTGGGATTGGTACTTGGACCACTTTTAGAAGGCCTTGCAGAATTAATATAAAATAAAAAGTATGAAGGACATCTCCTCATTCCAATCATGGATAGCGACAAACGATCATCTCCTGAACAGTGGAGACTTGAAGACATTCTCAAATATCTTGACGTTGATGACGAACACGAAGCCGAAGAAATCCTTCATTCTATTTTAACCTCTACGGGGATTTTGACTTGGAATGGAAAAGGAGAAATCGTTTACAGATCTAGAGGACATAATATACGAGGCACTGACATTGTAGACCTTCTGAAATATTGCGTGACGCCTTATCATCCAGATATTCCCGAACCAACTGGATTGAGTATTTTTATAAAAGGTCTTGCAGAATTGGAAATTGATAAAAGCCTAATCTTAAATGGACATGTCCTTTCTGTGTTAGCCCACAAGTGGTCCCGTCAGGATACACAATTTGATGCTGACGCAACTTGTAACAGTTGCAACAAAGATATATACATCTCCCATTTGAGTACGTGCCCCGTATGCACATGGACAGATTTTTATCCGAATTGTAAAAACTGTCGCTGTATGATCTGTGATTTTCAAGTGTCCAAAGGAGATTTTACACATGTAATCGCCAGCTGTCCACATTGTCGCCGAGGTGAAATTATAGATATCAGAACGGATGAAAGGCAGTCCTTTAACCATAAAATAGGCGACCAAAGTGATATTTGATTAGTTGACTGCGTGAAGTTGAACTGAACACATCAACATGCCGAGAGGTACACTTGTTGTAGACGAAAAACTACTGAGAGACCATTTCTTGAGACAGCAGCGTGGCGGAAACATCGCTGGGTATCGTGGTGCACGTTTTCAAAGAGGATACGGGATCGGAAGTATTTTCAAGAGCCTTGCGAGATATGCTATCCCTCTGTTCAAACAAGGCGCTAAAGTTGTTGGCAAAAGAGCATTGCAAGCAGCCACAGAAGTTGGTCAAGATGTACTCCAAGGAAAAAATGTAAGAGAATCTGTAAAGGCTCACGGAGGTGACGTTGTTAAAGACTTTGCCGAACAAGGAGCATTTAAAAACTGAAATATTGTGTAATTTTTGCCGGCAAAGCCCGCTCTTTCCGCCCGCGCGATCCGCCCGCCTGATTAGTGTACAAATATGTTGTACGTTAATATATACATGCACGCAAGCGTCGCTAATGACTTAGCAACACATAACAACGTATATAACGATTACATGTTTTTATCGCAAAATATATTACAACTGTTCCAATTCTAACTTATATTCTTGATAAGCTTACTTATGATCTGACTCGGTCATCTGAATAGTATATATGTATGTAGAATATTTGCTAAAATAACGTTGAACAACATGACCTTATTATTGTAGTATTGACCTTAACAACGACGTTGACAACTCGGGATTAGGAACTGTTTAGTTTAAAATATGTCCAAAATATGTTTAAAATATGATTTTTGTGACGAATAGATTCCTTATTTGCGCTCGTTCGTTTTCGTTCATCATGAGGCAGTCATGTTGTCTTTGACTAGGATGACCGACTTGACAACCATTACAGGATTCCACACAAAGTCTTTCAACTTTTGGCTGCAAAGCGCTCCTGTCTTGTCTAAATCGCTTTCTCTCTTCCCGCACGGATAACCCGAGACGCCCGCGCAATGAATATCCTAATCTACCCGTATTTATCCACACAGTTGAAAAATGCAAATCTCTGATAAAAGTTAATACTTTAATTAGTTTCACCCTAACAACACATAGCAACCGGTGTGCTTTAATATAGCTTAAATTTATTAACCTTATCCGAGTTTTAGTACTTTAAAAAACTACCACTAAAATATAGAAATCGCTTGACAATTATATATCATAACCTCTAATTTCCATGTGTTTATATAACTCTAAACAGCAACATATTCTCTCGTATATAGACCTTATATGGCAGACCGGGATTTAAATATTAGTTTAATTGTAGATACATAATAACTCTTACCGCATGCTATTTCTCAGCGTTTTGACGCTTCATAATATTTATATATTACTTAACAACAAAACATATAGCTGTATACTCCGAATATGTAAGTTTTGGATATATAACACTAATGCTATTTCATATAGTCTCAGATTTTTTACTCCTCTAGGAGCTAAATTAAAGGAATCACTTGACAATAACAGCAAAATGCTAGAGCTGTACTTATAAAACTCCAGACAACAACATATTCTCTTGTATATAGCCCTAACTATTGTATCATACGCGTGGGGGACGCTAAAAAATGCGTAGTCAGCAAGTTTTGCCCGATCGTGTTTAAGCTCGCCCGCGTGACGTCATTGTATATAATTATGACGTGTGTTAATGAGTGACGTCACTCCTCCTCCTCACTACTCATTCTTCCTCACTCCTCCTCCTCATTTCTCCTCACTCCTCCTCCTCATTTCTCCTCCACACTCCTCCTCCTCATTTCTCCTCACTCCTCCTCACTCCTCCTCACTCCTCCTCACTCCTCCTCAAAAATATATTACTACTGTAATCCGATTCATAAAGAAGACTAGAAAACAACCGTGTAAAATTTCACCTGAAGTAAACGCTGATGAATTAAAAGAATCCGTAAGAAGATGCGTGACGTGTAAAAGGTTTGAGGCTAAACCCTTTGCTGCAGCTAAAGAACCAGCTTTACCGTCAATTCGAGTCAGCGATGAGCCACCATTTAGCAACACAGGTATTGACTTTGTTGGTCCCCTATACGCCGTGACGAATCGAGAATCGGAGAAAGTCTATATCTGTTTATTTACCTGCGCCTCTACTGAGCCGTCCACCTGGAACTTGTCCCGTGTTTATCCGTATCTTCATTTCTTCAAGCCTTTCGACGCTTTGTTTCCCGAAGAGGTTTGCCATCACGATTAATAACGGACAATGCTAAGACTTTCAAGAGTGCATCCAAAGAAGTAAAGAACATCTCGAGATCTTCCGAAATTCAACGAGAAATGGCATCGAGAGGGGTGCAATGGGAATTCATCATAGAAAAGGCACCCTGGCAAGGAGGATTTTACGAACGAATGATACAGAGTACGAAGAGGTGTTTGAAAAAGATTCTCGGATGATCTTCTGGAAATCGAGACGACGATAAATAATAGACCACTTACGTATGTCTATGACGATGAGGAAGGAGTGTCTTATCCCCTTACACCCTCTCAACTACTCTACGGTAGACAAATCTCATTAATGCCAAGTGATCGACAGTTCGACATTATCAGTACTAACCGATCATTGACCAAGAAAGCGAAGAATCAAAGGCGCTTACTGGACCAATTTACTAATCGCTGGAGAACGGAGTATCTATTAAGCCTTCGAGAGACATCGCGCGTTCTTCACGGGACACGGGACAGAAAAGGAAACAATAGCCGTTGGTGACGTAGTTGTGTTGAAGAATGACTCAACTCCACGAATGTTTTGGAAGCTTGCACGAGTCAAGGAGCTCATAAAAAGCCAGGACGGTGTAGTTCGGGCAGCAAAGATTTGCGTGGTAAATTCGGCAAAGGAGCGTGTGATTGAATTACGACGGCCAATACAACATTTAATTCCTCTGGAGCTGAAATTGAGTCCAGATACAGAGGACGTGCCGCCAGCTATTGAAAGTGCATCGAAAGAAAAAGAATCGACCATACAGCGACCGAGACGAACTGCAGCGGTAGTTGGAGAACTTTTACGAAAGGGGATGAGATAAGTTCATTATAATCGTATAGTTAAAGTATATTTGATCACTCTGGGGTGATCAATGCCGGGAGTGTGATAAACTGTGAGACATGAACAGGGTTTCGATAACATTTGTTGAGTTTACTTTGAGCCTGATCGCAGGCTGTTGAACCTGATCGCAGGCTAAGCACGTGGGATCGCCTTTACATACGGGGAATTTAGCACAAAAACAACAAGTTTTATATTATTCGATTGAACGTGTATTATATTCGATTATTCGAGGATATTTCGTTATGTTTAAGTTAGTTATGTTTTAAGTCTTTTACCTTATTATGTGACATTAAAGTTTATATATATTTTTAATGTTATCCGTGTGTAACCTCGTTCCCAGGGCTTTCATGTGAGGACGAGGGGAGAGACGAGAAAGCCCTGGTCTGGGCCGGTCACGTGACTACCCAAAAATGGCAATATTTGACAGCTACTCGTCAAGGTGTGGCGAGATATTCTGTAATGAAATATACAAGTCTTCGAAACAAATAAACAGCCAAAACGCTTCTCAATCGATATTATTTATGTGTAGCGAAGTTTGGCACGAATCAGCTGGAATCTCTGAAGACCCCCCGTCTATATTTACCGAATATTTCTGGAGATTTTCAACCACAGGCAAAGCTGCATCCAAGCTGGATCTAGGCGTCTCCATGCAAGTGGTGATTCACACGAAATTTGCTTGCTCTCGTCTTGAACAATATGGCTATTGCCTTTAATATTTAGTTTAAATATGCTCCTATAGATCTGACTTCGTTCGATATAAATAAACACAAATATAAAACCTCGCGTAACCTGTTTACGCTGTACAGGAATATACGGATTCGCTTGTTTCGCCGGACACCAACACTTGCCGTTCACGAGCAATGCTTGCCTACAAATTTTATCCCCTTCACAATCTTGGTTTTATTTTATCGTATAGTCGCAATTTTCAAGCATTCGGGGTATCTGAAACTGTAAAACTCGGTGGCGTGACGAATCTTGTAGAGACTACATCGGCCTAGGCGTAGAGCTGTTAAGTAAACAGGGCCTAAATTAATTTTGTTGACCATTGTTTGTCTTGCTTTTATTTGTCAGTATAGAATATTGTAAATTAAAATATTACTACAATGCAATACGCGTAGTCTTTCATCATGCAGACATCTGCATGCACTACATTATAAATACTGTACAAGGAAAACTACAGTACAGCTTAAATAATAGTACACGTTTCTTGTTTTGTCAGGAAACATCACAGCTCACGTCGACATAGCTTTTGAGTTTTGTAACCGGCCTAGGCGAAAGTAAATCATGCAGTCGGGAAAACGTCTTACTTTGAAAGATTATTTTGCAAAACATACTCGTACACACAAGAATCATAAAAATACAAATGTTGAATTGTTATTGTCAACTGTCAAGTTCAGTTATTTTTAGACGAATTTGTGTTAGCCAATCAGAATGCAAAATTGACCGGCCCAGACCAGGGCTTTCTCGTCTCTCCCCTCGTGCTCACATGAAAGCCCTGGAAACGAGGTCGATCCGTGTATTAAACGAACGTTGATTATTAAGCGAGGAAATTCGATAAGTTATGCGACGTGCATAACAAGTGTTATAGACTTTTAGAAAGTGATTTAAGAGGCGATATTTAAGAATTTGTAGCCGTTTAATTGCGAGGAGACGAACGAAAGATGTTGCCGCCCACAGCAACAGTAACACCACACATGTTGACATAAGGAATGGCGACGTGCGAAATTCTGATGCAAGATCGAAAGAGTCAGGAAGGTGGTGGAAAAACCTTGACGGACACATCAAGGAACAATGATGGCTCGAACGAGGCAATTCGTAAGATTTTGGAAGGAAAACCATTCATTTTCCCCGTGTGTGATAAAGGACACTCTAGTAGAAATGGTTTAAAACATCATTATAAGAAACATCAGAATGGCAGTGAGAACAAAACGTATTACTGCCATGAATGTAAGAAACGTTTTAAGACGAAGAGAAGTTCTGGTTGCATGATGTGAAAGTTCATGGACTCATTGAAACGTCGTTGGAAGAAAGTGATTCAGAAATGGTTGCAGGGCATGAAGAGAGAGAGTTGGAAGCACGTGGATAAATATGACAGACACAAGAACTGATGTAAGGAGTGGTGGAGATATAAGAGGTGATAGGATGGACTGGAGACTTGGTAAGGTCTCACAATTCAAGCCAGGAAACGATAGAAAGGTTAGGAACGTCGAAGTTCAGTACAAGAATCCAAAGAGTGGAGAACCCGTCAATAAGTATAGTGGTTAAGATTATGTCACAGTCCATCGATTAGTGGTAATTCTGCCTGCGGATCATGATGATAAGTGATGAAGAAAGGATAAGAAACTTAGGGACACACACTTGCAAAAACACTCTTATAGTCTTATTATGTTGAGTTAAGTTGATTCTGATATAGAACTTTGTTAATGCTGAGAACTTGTTAGCGTTATTAGAAGGTGGCAGTGTTTCGTTTAGTACGAAAGTTTAGCGAACGACTTTTGAGCGATGTGAAACGAGATTACGAAGTTTACGGAAGCGACTTTTGGTTGATGGAAAATATAAGGATTTTTGGACACCATGTTTGATTGAGTGTTATAAACTTTTAGAAAGTGATTTAAGGGGCGATATTTAAGAATGTGTAGCAGTTTAACTGCGAGGAGACCACCAGGTAATTAATTAATATTGCATGTGACTTCCCGTTTATCTGCATTATTTTTGTATTTTGCATGTCTTTTTTATTGTAAAAATATGTGTAATTTTATATTGTTTAGACTTCGAAACTATTAAAAGTACTTTGACATTCGTCGTTGTTGTTTCTGAAATGGCGGTTGAAAACGAAGAAAGCGGCTAACAAAACATTCGAAATCCGTCTCTGAAGGTACGAAAGCCTGAATTATGCGAGAATTAATTTGATGAGTTATAACGTAGTGAACCGAACAACGTGTAAAAACAAAGATGTCCGACGAAATAGAAAGTGCCAAAAGTCAAAGAACAAGTGCTAAGAGCAAATTTACTAGGGAGTTAAAGGAATTTCTAAGAGCAGTTGCTGAAGATAAGGGACTTGAGATTGTAGATAGAACCTATGCAGAGCTAAAAGAATCGTGGAAAAATGTGGAAAGCAAACACGATATGTATGTTGCACTCATCGAAGATAAGGACTGCGAGCACGAAGAGACTTGGATTGAGGAGCTGCAAAGGAGCTTTGGTGATGCAATGGAAAAGGAGGTAAGCTATGTCCAAAGTAAAGCAGCAGCTGGTAAAAAGGCTATGGATGAAGAAAGACTTCAAGAGACAACTAAGAAAGACCAGGAAAAAATGGAAAAGATGGTTCAGCAGATGACAATAAAGAGGAAAACTAGTGAAATTGTTTTTCAGCAGTTAGTAGAGGATGTGAAACCAGTACTGGAAATGGATTTTATTACGGCTGCTCTAAAAAAGGCTCAGGAAGGATTAGATGCAGCAGTGGCCGACTGCAAGGAAGCTAATGATAAATACCTTGAATTGCTCGATAAGGACAAAGCAGATGCAGAATTTAATTGGATGAAAAATATTCAAAAGGAGTATAATGCCATAACATCAAGAATTGCAGTCGGTATCGCGAAGGAACAGGAGAAACTAAAGAAGCTAGAATCGACAAGTAAAAGTAAGGAATCGTGTAACCTCAGATTGGAAAAACTGAAAATGCCAACATTTGACGGTGATATTAGACAATATCCACGCTTTAAGAAAGACTTCGAGCAGCAAGTATTACCTGGACTGCCTAAAGAGTCTGCACCTTATGCCTTGAGATCATGTCTCGGCAGAGAACCTCTCAGTATTGTAAGAAGTGTAGAGGACGACATAGAAGAGATGTTAAAGCGTTTAGATGAAAAGTATGGGGATCCAGCGAAGATTGCGGACGTAGTTATTGAGAGCATTAAAGAGGTAAAAGTCATAAAAGAAGGAGAACATAAGAGATTTATCAACTTTGTTAATATTGTAGAAGATGCTTATCAAGATTTGCGAAGACTCGGTCTAGAAAAGGAGATCACTACTACTAGCTCTGTGAGCATAATAGAGAAGAAATTGCCAAACGATGTGCGAAAGGAGTGGGCCAAGCTAGTCAGCTTTGATACAAGCGAAGTCGACAAGAGAGATAAATTTCCAAGCCTCCTGAAATTTCTGCTTAATTGTAAGAGAGCAATTGAGTATGATTCCAGCAACTTACGAAGCAATACTTCATATGCTGGAACAGTCAACCTTACTGCGAGTGAGAAATTAGAGGAAGATGGCCATGAGGATGAAAGTAATACGGAGCAGCAGAAGGAAACCGGTATCTCACAAAACAAGTGCCTATTTCATCCCAATAGTGATCATTGGACCGATACATGTAACCTTTACCTTTCCAAGTCGCCTGAAGAGAGAATTAACCTGCTCAAGGACAAGTCAGCGTGTTGGTCATGCCTGAGAGTTGGTCATCGACTAGCGGAATGCAAGAGAAAGAAAGCCTGCGGTGAAAATGGATGCAAAGGGACACATCACAAAACTATTCACATGGAACGAAAGAGTGGCTTTGCCGCTGCTTGTGGTGATTTGACCAACAGTACTTGCCTCTTACAGATCCAAAGAATCAAAACCAGCGAAGGGTCGACCAACGTCTTGTGGGACAGTGCAGCATCTATTTGTCTTATCACGTACAGTAAAGCTAAAGAAGAGAAACTGCATGGCAAACAAGTTCAACTGTCGATCACCAAGGTGGGTGGAATAGATGAGAAGCTTACATCGCACCTGTACCGGGTCCCTCTGGTAAACCAATACGGCAAAACTGTGTTTATCAAAGCTTACGGGATAGAAAGAATCGCATCGGACATCCAAGCTGTCAATCTTGATGGTGTTGTTCATTTGTTCAAGGGCGTTAGTGCCGAAGAAGTCGCAAGACCGACTGGACCAGTCGACCTACTGATTGGCTACGAGTATGCAGGGTTTCATCCACAGCTAGAAAGAAGAAACGGACATCTTCTGCTACTGAAAAACCAGTTTGGAAAATGCATTGGTGGCAAACACCCAAGCATCAAAGAAACTCACCAAACCAGTGCGTTGACTAGTGCCCGAGCCTATCATGTCAATGCCATTAATGTTGAGGACATCTACAACATTGAAGGTTTGGGGGTAGCTTGTTCACCATGCTGTGGAGGTTGTAAATGTGGAAAGTGTCCAAAGGGAAGCAATGATTACACCCTCAAAGAAGAGAGAGAACTGAAGCTGATCGAAAGCAAATTGACGTTTGACGACGAAGAGAAGAAATGGACCGCAGAATACCAGTGGATAAGAAATCCGCAAGAATTACCTGACAACAGAAGGGCAGCAATGAGAGATGCGAATGAAGAAGAGCTAAATAGTGAAATTGAACAAAACAATGAAATAACAAGTGATGTTGAAGAAAGACAAGTGGACGAGGAAAGACCACACGTTGGTCAAGCTCATGAAAGTCATGAATCAAGAGAAGTGGAGGAAACACAGAGACTTGTTAAAGTGAACGGTGAAGGGAGTCGATCAAGTGAGAGAAACGAAATCCCGAGAAGACAAGCAAAGAGAGTTGTTGAACCGAGCAACACTACGAGACAAATAGTTATGCGAGTTGGTGAGAAGAGGAAAGGCAGTCCTGATGTACAACCTCTTGGTGGAAAGAGAAAAGACACGGATGGACGGAACGAACAAAAGAATGTTGTTGATAAAAAAGAAACTGCAGCGAGAGATGTTATTGCAAGGCAGGACATTGAGACAAGGAAGAATGATGTGAGGGTACGAAACAAGCGGAGAATTGTTCGGGCAGTCGGTGACACAAACCTCGCTGCGGAACGCAACATCGGTGCAACGAGTGACTTTCTTATTACGAAAGTCATCAGAGCAAAGAATGATGGTGGTGCAAGAAATTATGAAAAGGCGAAGGAAAATTCTGGCACCAGAATGAGCGCTGAGCAGAGAAATGAGGGTGATATGACCAGCAACACAACAGAGATCACAAGGAAAGATTTTGCTGCCCACAATAATAGTGACTCCAAGGAAGATGCTGGCAGTGTACTCAGTGGCGAAGAAAGTGACAACAGTAACACCACGCATGTTCACATAAGGAATGGCGACATGCGAAATTCTGATGCAAGAAAGAGTCATGAAGGTGGTGGGAAAACCTTGACGGACACATCAAGAAGCAATGAAGCCTCGAACAAGGCAACTCGCAAGAGTTTGGAAGGGAAACCATTCATTTTCCTCGTGTGTGATAAAGGACACTCTAGTAGAAATGGTTTAAAACATCATTATAAGACACATCAGAATGGCAATGAGAACAAAACGCATTTGTATTACTGCCATGAATGTAAGGAAGGTTTTGAGACGAAGAGAAAGTTCTGGTTGCATGATGTGAAAGTTCATGGACTTATTGAAACGTCGTCGGATGAAAGTGATTCAGAAATGGTTGCAGGGCATGAAGAGAGAGTTGGAAGCACGCGGATAAGCATGACAGACACAAGGACTGATGTAAGGAGTGGTGGAGATGTAAGAGGTGCTAGGATAGACTGGAGACTTGGTAGGGTCCCAAAATTTAAGCTCGGAAACGATAGAAAGGTTAGGAACGTCGAAGTTCAGTACAAGAATTCAAAGAGTGGAGAACCCATCAATAAATATAGTGGTCAAGATTATGTCACAGTTGAACCGATTAGTGGTAATTCTGCCTGCTGATCATGATGATAAGTGATGAAGAAAAGACAATAAACTTAGGGACACAAACTTGCAAAAACACTCTTATAGTCTTATTATGTTGAGTTACGTTTGTTCTGATAGAACATTGTTTAACACTGAGAACTTGTTAGCGTTATTAGAAGGTGGCAGTGTTTCGTTTAGTACGAAAGTAGCGAACGACTTTTGAGCGATGAGAAACGAGATCACGAAGTTCACGGAAGCGACTTTTGGTTGATGGAAAATATAAGGATATTTTGGACGCCATGTTTGATCGAGTGTTTATATAACTTTTAGAAAGTGATTTTAGAGGCGATATTCAAGAATTTGTAGCCGTTAATTTGCGAGGAGACCACCGGGTAATTTATTGCATGTGACTTTACGTTTATCGGCATTATTTTTGTATTTTATATGTCTTTTTTATTGTAAAAGTATGTGTAATTTTGTATTGTTTAGATTTCGAAACTATTAAATGTACGTTGACATTCGTCGTTGTTTGTTTCTGGAATGGCGGTTAAAAAGGAAGAACGCGGCTAACAAAACA